CACTCACACGGTTTGCCTAGCTTGGCAGCCTGCTGGCGTGGACAATAATAAAGCTTCTGTTGAGGTGAGCAAACAGCTGATGGCATGGGGCACAGAGGGGACTCCTACAGTGGCTGCCTGTAATCTGCCAGGCTGGTGGTCCCACCAGGCAAGGACAAAAGCCAGTCTGTTTGCAGGCAGTTTGGAAATCAATGTGTGAGTTGTGTTTGTGTCTCTTTGCCTTTCCCTTGGCTGAAAGGAGCCTGCTGGCCCAGCAGTTCGCAGAGTCGTTCCAGGCGAGTACCCATTCCAGAGACTTACCTGGCTATCGTATTACCGCTGGCGAGTCTGAAAAGAGCCTGAGTGTTTCTGTCTAAACCGCTTAAAGAGTCGCTGACGGAGAATTCTTAAACTCACCATCCAAAGTTGGACCCATCTCAGTGTTCTGAGTGGTTTATATTCTAGATGGTTACATAAATTGTGCGCTGGTTTTTGGTTTTTTTGTTTTTTGTAATGCTGACGAGGACTTAAAAAGGAGTTTACTTGTTGCCTGGCTAGGAAATGTAGGAATTGCATTTTGAGCAGCGTATGTCATAATATGTGTGTGAGTGTTTGCCTCTTACTTCTAAATTGATTTCATGTTGTCACGTAGTTGAAAATGCCCTGGTCACGGCTGTGTGTCTGGATTATTCGGTCTCACAGAGCAGAGATCACACCAAGTAGCCCTGCTCCAGGATGGGAAAGGGAGTTAACCTAGTGAAGACCCATGTGAGCCTGTTGACACATCTTCCAAAGGGAGATGATTATATTAGTTATGTGAGGACTTGAGTAACTTTCCCCTTAGGCTTCTAAGAAGTAAAGTGTGACAAAAGATTTGAGAAGAAAAGACTTCTCTGTTTCTCTATTAAAGTTAGCCTCAGAAGGTTAGTGAAAGGCTGTACACAAATTTTCATCTAAGCTTTGAAGGTCTGTAGCTAGATCCTGTCAATCTCTGGTACTCTTTCAAAGCCTGAAAATGATCTGCTGATCGTGAATAAGAGAAAAAGGTGTTTGGTTGGTATGGTCATGGTGCTCTTTATTTTAAAGTCCATCAGAAAGAAAAGAAATAACTTTAGTGATCACTGGAGACATCCTAAAGCAGATTAGATTTAAATGAGATTTAAATAGTTTTGGGTAAAGGAGGTAATTGACAACTTTTTGTTTTTGAAGGAGAAATAGACTAAACCTAGCAACCACTATGATCAAAAGCATCTGTAGCATCTAGCAGCACGCTTTCTATCTTTAGCATTCATGTCCCCGCCCCTTGTATTATTGTTACTAGTTTATATGGGGTAAAAAGTCACTTGGATTAATCTGGAAGATGGCACAGAAAAGCCTGAACAAGCTTTCTTCTGCCAACCCAGTGTGTTATTTTTGTTGCTGTTGTTCAGTCACTCAGTCCGATTCTTTATGACACCATGAACTGTAGCACACCAGGCTTCCCTGTCCTTCACCATCTCCTGGAGTTTGCTCAAACTCATGTCCATTGAGTCGGTGATGCCATCTAACCATCTCATCCTCTGTCCTCTCCTTCTCCTCCTGCCTTCTATCTTTCCCAGCATTGGGGCCTTTTCTAATGAGTCAGCTCTTCGCATACTTCGAAGTATTGGAGCTTCAGCATTAGTCCTTCCAGTGAATATTCAGGGTTGAGTCTTTAGGATTGACTGGCTTGATCTCCTTGCTGTCCAAGGGACTCTCAAGACTCTTCTCCAGCACCACAGTTCAAAAGCATCCATTCTTCAGGGCATAGCCTTCTTTATGGTCCAACTCACAACCATACATAACTACTGGAAAAACCATAGCTTTGACTAGACACACCTTTGTTGGCAAAGTGATGTCTCTGCTTTTCAGTACACTCTCTAGTTTTGTCATAGCTTTTCTTCCAAGGAGCAAGCGTTTATGGTGATTCTGGAGCCCAAGAAAATAAAGCCTGTCACTGTTTCCACTGTTTCCCCATCTATTTGCCATGAAGTGATGGGACCGGATGCTATGATCTTAGTTTTTTCTGAATGTTGAGTTTTAAGCGAGCTTTTTCACTCTCTTCTTCCACCATCAAGAGGCTCTTTAGTTCCTCTTCGCTTCTGCCTTAAGGGTGGTGTCATCTGCATATCTTTGATATTTCTCCTGACAGTCTTGATTCCAGCTTGTGCTTCATCCAGCCTTCATTTTGCGTGATGTATTCTGCATATAAGTTAAGTAGTTAAATAAACAGGGTGACAATATACAGCCTTGAGGTACTCCTTTCCCAATTTGGAACCAGTCTGTTGTTCCATGCCCAGTTCTAACTTGCTTCTTGACCTGCATACAGGTTTTCTACGAGGTGAGTAAGGTGGTCTGGTATGCTGCTGCTGCTAAGTCACTTCAGTCATGTCTGACTCTGTGACCCCATGGACTGCAGCCTACCAGGCTCCTCCATCTATGGGATTTTCCAGGCTAGAGTACTGGAGTGGGGTGCCATTGCCTTCTCTGGTGGTCTGGTATTCCCATCTCTTTCCACAAGAATTTTCCACAGTTTGTTGTGATCCACACAGTCAAAGGCTTTAGTGTAGTCAATAAAGCAGAAGTAGATGTTTTTCTGGAATTCTCCTGCTTTTTCTATGATCCAGTGGATGTTGGCAATTTGATCTCTGGTTCCTCTGCCTTTTCTAAATCCAGCTTCAACATCTGGAAGTTTTCAGTTCATGTACCGTTGATGCCTAGCTTGGAGAATTTTGAGCATTTCTTTGCTAGTGTGTGAAATGAGTGCAGTTGTGCAGTAGTTTGAACACTCTTTGTCGTTGCCTTTCTTTGGGATTCGATTGAAAACTGACCTTTTCCAGTCCTGTGGCCACTGCTAAGTTTTCCAAATTTGCTGGCATATTGAGTGCAGCACTTTCACAGCATTATCTTTGAGGATTTGAAATAGCTCTACTGGGATTCCATCACCTCCACTATCTTTGTTCATAGTGATGCTTCCTAAGGTGTTATTTTTGTAATGAGATTATAAATGCCCAAACAGGGAATTTATAATTTTGCAGTATACCATGGAAGTTAGCATAATGATCAGTGTTGATTAAAGCTCTCTTATTATTTGTTAAAAACCTATCATGGGCCACAAATTGTGTCAGTCACCGAGGAATCCATGTTGAACAAGGCAGTCACCCCCCTTCCCCCCTGGTTGCTGTCCAGGAAGCCTTCAGGCTATCACGGAAGCATCACCATCTTTAGGCAATACAACTGGTATTTCACTTGACTTTAAAAATTATAATAATAATAAAATTAGCTTTTAACTGTTTGTTACACTTAAAATCTCAGGTTTTTCAGAGTAACAAGGAAGGAAGCTCAATTAGCTCATCTACTGTTTTTAAAATGTGAAGGAAAGCATGAAATACTAAAAGATATGTTTTCATTTCTATGCAGAAGATCTCATTAGACCTTATCTAGGGCGCTTATACAATGGCTTTTCTGTGACCAGGTCACTCTCATCTTAAACATAATTTGACATATTTCTATCTTTCTGCTTTTAAAGGGGTTAATTCTGTAAGGAAAGATAAAGTGAGAAAAACTTTTTCCAGCCAAATGTAAAGCATTCAAAGACTAGACAGGGCTGCATGACTCAATCTAAAAAATATCTTCAAATCTCATTTTTGTCAAATCTCTCAACAGATCACTAATAAACAGCCTAAATAAAGTACTACTTCTCACTTGCTCTCTTTCTCTCAGCTTTTACTTTGGCAGAAAACCTAGTCAGCAGGAAACTATCCCAATACCAGATGGCAGGAAATAGCAGGTGGCCAGATTGAATAACTGGCCTCTGAAAACCCCCAGTATTAGCCTGTAGCCCCAACTTTCAAATATGCACAAAATTCTTTCACTTTAAGTTTTTGTCTTGCCTTTTGTTTTTACAATAAGAAGACAAATTGACTTTTTAAATTTTGTGGGGTCCAGAGATTGACCAGCTTCCACTTCCTGAAGGTTCAGAGAAAAGGTGCAGACTTGAACTGATATGAGATGATGTTTGAGGAACCATCTGGGTCAAAACAGATAAGCAGACAGAGGACTGCACAGCCCTTTTGTGGCCTCCTCACGCCTGTCTCCCCTCTCACTCAGCCTGTGGCACACAGACCCCAGGAGCAAGCAAAAGCTGCTCCAGCTAATGTGTGCCCACTCGTGGCAAGACTAGCATTTGGATTCACTTCCAAGTTCCATTCCTTTGTGGGAATACTGGTACTATATACACCTCAGCTTGGATAGCTTAGGTCTTTAAAAACCATGTGGGGAGCAGCAGGAAGCACGAGGAGATAGACTGAAGTGCTGGAATGGAGCTGTGAGAAAGTCAGCATGATCATGTATCCTGAAGGGCCTGAATGCTATATTTTGCTCAATTTTTTTTCTTTTTTTTTTTCCTTTCAATTCACTGAAGAGTGTCCCAGTCTCTCCTAAGGGCCGCAAGAAATAGCAGTGTAACTCAAAGCTGGTTTTCCTCTAAAATTGCTGTGGTACTCTAGTTTTCATTTTTTGCTTCATCTGTTTTAGAACTCTAAAGTATGAGCTTCCATTGTTGTCGTTCAGTCGCACAGTTGTGTCCTACTGTCTGTGACCCCACAGACCCACCACAGCCCGCCAGGCTCCTCAGTCCATGGGATTCTCCCAGCAAGAATACTAGAGTGGGTTGCCATTTCCTTCTCCAATGAGCTTCCATATCTGTCTTCTGGTAGAGCATATTCCTGAAATCATTTCTCATAAATCTCGTATTAAAACAAGATGTTGAATTAGGGGCTATAAATAAGTTATAAAATTTTTATATTTTTATTATATTTTTTGCCTTCTCTTTCCCATTTCAGATGTTAATGAGTTTTATCCTCAAGTTTTATTAGCTGTTGGCCTTCATGACTTTTATGATCATCTGTAAATTCCTAAGAGGGGGACCTACTGATGGAAGATGGGTTTTGGCATTGACATCTAAGAGTTAAAATCAGTTTCTTCTCTTCTGTTTTATTTAGATTTCGACACAGCCCCAACTGCTGGTACCTGAGAGGTTGGACTATCCACACCTGGATTAGGCAGTGTCTGAAATATGGTGCCCAAGACAAAGCCTTATATACCCTTGTAAATAAGGTGAGTGGTTTGCTGGCATTTGCAGCTTATTCTCCTCAGTTTAGGCAAGATGGTATCTGTACCATTACATGTTCCATTACAGTACAGCAGAGAATAGTGTAAGAAATAGCTTTTAAATTTATTTGCCCTCAAATAATCTTTTTAGAATGGAGCTGGTATAAATTAATCAGCACATTAAAAATAAAGATTCCTGTAGCTGTGGCTTTTCCAAGCATAGTGATTTAAAAATGGAGAAGTGAAAGGAAAAAGTTAGTTAGTAATCCAGTCACAGAAACTCTGTTGGTGGTCATTTCATTCTTGATCCCTGTCTTGGGGGTTTTGCCTAGTTGCCTTTGGTGATGTTTAGTGTAAAAGACATGACCATTTTGCTAGAGTACAGTCTTCAGAGCATTCATATCTCTTACACATTTTTGAACAGACAGACTTCCTAGTTTATTTATAACATGTCTTCCTGAGTCCCTGACTTCTTTCCTGAAGCCCCTACAATTAGGTCTTTCTGAATGTTACAGATCCCCCAATGGCTGAGTCTTCATTCCCCTCTTAGTATGAAATAAGGGCAAAATAAACAAAAGTTAGAACGTTGTTATTGTGAATCCCAAGCTGCAATCCTGGTTTGACCCATAACAAGACTTTAATAATATTTCTCTGGAAATGTATTATATCTGTAGTGTCATTGAACCTTCTGTTTTTTAACTCAAAAAGAAATACTGAATTTGTTTTTGGGAGCTTTGTTCCTCTGACTTGCTTGGTTACCGGTTTAATTTGATACACGTTGCAGACAGATTGTGTGTGAGGTGTTGTGCTGGGTATGGCATTGTCACAAAAATGGGCAGCATCCTATCCTTTCCCTCAGGAAGCTTATAATTTGATAAAGTAGATAAGCGGGTTCACTGATAAATCTAATATTTCTATCTTAATTTTTATTGTTACTTGTCTTTTAGTGAAAAACACAACAGACAGGGAGTCAGAAGACCCAAGCTATAACACCATGATTTCTACCAGTTGTTCTTAACTTTAGGCAAATGGGCTTCCCTGATGTCTCAAATGGTAAAGAATCTGCTTGCAACACAGGACACCTGGGTTCAATCCATGAATTGGGAAGGATCCCATGGAGAAGGGAATGGCTACACACTCCAGTATTCTTGCCTGGAGAATTCCATAGACAGGAGCCTGGTGAGCTACAGTCCATGGGGTCGCAGAGAGTCGTACATGACTGATGAACTAACACTTTCACTTTAGGCAAATAGTAATTTTATTCTTTTGGGTCTTAGTTTTTTTCAGCTCTAAGTCAAATGAGATGTACCAAATCAGTGATTTCCAACCTTGGCTGCCCATTAGAGTCATGTAAGAAGCTTTTAAGAATTATAGATGCTTTCTCCATCCCCAGGATTCTAATTTAATTGGTCTTTCAGGAACCTAGGCATTGGTATTTTTTTAAACTGGTTTTTTAAATTTTTTTTTTTTTTTTGAAATAGATTTTATTTTTTAGAGCAATTTTAGGTTCACAGCAAAATTGAACAGAAGGTACAGAAATTTTCCATATGTTCCCTGTTCCTACATGTGCCGGGATATGCCTCCCCCATTATCAGCATTCCCCATCCAAGTGAACCATTTGTTACAGTGATGAACCTACATTGAAACATAAATCACCCAAAGCCCATGTTTACATTAGGGTTTATTCTGTGGCTTTGAACAAGGTATAATGACCCACATCTACCATTACCGTGTTACAGGCTACTTTCACTGCCCTCCCCCCAACCAACTGATCTCTGTGCTCTGCCCATTCATACCTCATCGGTGTCTTTTTAAAGCTTACATGTTGATTTTTGCCGCCAGGATTGAGAATCGCTGACCAGTTGATTCTTAAGTTTCCTTCCTTCCAGCTTTAATGATTTATCATTCTAAAATATTTTGTTTTTACCCTGCCTTAGGAATTATCACAGATCGAATGACTGCTTTGATAAGTTTAAACACTACCGATGGGACGCAACTTTTAAAACAGTGGCTTCTGAACTTTTTTTTTTTGTATTTCAGCATATTTGAGGCATTCTGTACAGTCTGCTAGTAATAGTGACTCGGTTCAGCAGAGACTGACAACTGGGGTTTAGGATTATCAGAATTCCTCAAGGAGGATAGGTGTAATTGGAAAAAAAAATTCCTTGGATATTCCTGTGTGGTTGATGAGAGTGACTAATCCTACTGAAGTAAGAATTTAAAATAAGTATATAACCAGTTTAGATGATTAGTAGTCAGACTTTATTGTGCATGAAAATCACACAGGAAGGCACTAAAATCTCAGGTTTCTTGGGTCTTTAAAAACTCAGAGACAAGAGATAACAGATGCTGGCAAGAATAGGGCAAAAATGGATCCCTTATGCACTGTTGATGGAAATGTAAATTGGTACAGCCAGTATGGGAAATAGTATGGAGATTACTCAAGAAATTAAAAATAGAAATACCATGTGGTCCAGCAAATCCACTTCTGGTTATATATCCAAAGGAGGGTGAAATCACTGTCTCAAAGAGATACTTGCAACCCCATGTTCATTGAAGCATTATTAACAACAGCCAAGCCATGGAAACCTAAATGTCCATTTACAGGTGGATGGATAAAGAAAATGTGTGTAAGGTGGGGAGGGGATGTGAACCTGGGTCTCCTGCATTGCAGGCAGATTCTTTACCATCTGAACTACCAGGGAAGCCTATACATACATGTACAGTGGGATATTTCGCCATTCAAAAGAAACTTCTGCCATGTGAGATGACGTGGACAAACCTTAAGAGCATTATGCAAAGTAAAATAAGTTGGTTAAAGAAAGACAAATACCTCATGATCTCACTTATGTGTGAAATCTGAAAAAGAACTCAGAAACAGTGTAGAATAATAGATATCAGTGTCTGGGGAAGGAGGGTGAGAATGGGGAGATGTTGGTCAAAGGATACAAACTTCCAAAGATGAATAAGTTCTGAGGATCTAATGTATAGCATGATGACTGTAGTTAAGAGTGCTGTATTATATTCTTGAAAGTTGCCAAGAGAGTAGATCTTAAATATTCTCATCCCCACTGCCACCAAAAGATAGTCGTTATGTGAGGCAATGAATGTGTTAACTAGCCTTGTTGTAGTAATCATTTTGCAATATATATGTATGTTAAATGATCATGTCGTACACCTTAAAATCACACAATGTTACATGTGAACTATATTTTAATAAAGTTGGGAGAAAAGCACTTTTAAGGACCAGAAAATGCTGCATAGTGTGATTAATGTGTGCCTTCTCCTGGGACTCCATTTTTGTGTTGATAGTCATACTTTTTTAAAAGAATCACTGAACCAGTGGAGTGTGGTTGTGTTTTATATTCTTGGTTTGGTTTGGGTTTTTTTAAGTTATAATGAGGTGTTAGAATTGAGCTTTATTTTTCACGTCAGTTGTCTTATATCAGACACCCACTCAAAACTTTCTCACCCTGACCAACAGTTCCAATTACCAAACTGCATGAGTCACAGCTTCTATTTCACTGTCACAGATGCTGTAAAATGATAGTCAGATATTTTAAAGCTAATGGGAACAAGTTTTTTTCCTGAATAATACATAGGCATATATTATAAACTGAACTTAATGAATTTGTTCTCTTATTTTACTTTTATTTTTATTTTCATTGCAGGTCCAATATGGTATTTTTCCAGATAACTATACATTTAACTTACTGATGGATCATTTCATAAAGAAAGAAAATTACAAAGGTATGAAACCAAACCCAGATCCATATATAATGGATCTACAGTTCCCAAAGGGAAGTAAATATAGGCACTTTTACTTTTTTTTCATTTCTTAACGACATCTGTATATCACTCTTTCAGTCAGAAATAGATGCGCAGTTGATTGACCTTATCAGGTGGCCAGATAGGAGACTTCTATCCAGGTCTTCTTTCCTATGAGTTTCTCAAATCTGTTTGTTCATGTCTCTTTGGGCAAAGGACAGTGAATTTAGTTAATGCAATAAAGCTGCCTGAGCTTCCACAGCTAGTTAAGGTTATATTAATTCAGCTATTAGCTTGACTTTGTTCTAAGCACAATTTGCTAACTTTGTTTTACTTACATCGCAGTTGTTACAGCATGTGAAGTGTATAAGCATAAAATCTTATACTGGAGAGAGTAGCATGCTCCCTGTGAAGGGAAGTCATTTTGCCTCCCTAGCTTTTGTTTCCCTATCTCTGAAGTAAGTGCAGTGCTCACACTGCCATACAGTTGTGCTCTTTTTACTTGCTAGCAAGATCATGCTCAAAATCCTTTGAGCTAGACTTCAGCAGTACACGAGCCAAGAACTTCCAGATGTCCAAACTAGATTTAGAAAGGCAGAGGAACCAGGGATCAAATTCCCAACATCTGTTGGATCATAGGAAAAGCAAGGGAATTCCAGAGAAACATATTTCTGTTCATTGACTACGCTAAAGCTTTTGACTGTGTGGATCGCAACAAACTGTGGAAAATTCTTCAAGAGATGGGAATACCAGACCACCTTACCTGTCTCCTAAGAAGGCTGTATGCAGGTCAAAACGCAACAGTTAGAACCAGACATGGAACAACAGACTGGTTCCAAATTGGGAAAGGAGTATGACAAGACTGTATGTTGTCACCCTGCTATATAAGTTAAATATAATTTATATGCAGAGTACATCATGTGAAATGCTGGGCTGGATGCATCACAAGCTGGAATCAAGATTGGTGGGAGAAATATCAATAACTCTAGATATACAGATGATACCACCCTAAAGGATGGCAGAAAGTGAAGAGGAACTAAAGAGCCTCTTGATGAAAGTGAAAAGGCTGGCTTAAAATTCAACATTCAAAAAATTAAGATCATGGGATCCGGTCCCATCACTCCATGGCAAATAAATGAGGAAAAAGTGGGAACAGTGACAGATTTTATTTCCTAGGGCTCTAAAATCACTGCAGATGGTGACTGCAGCCGTGACATTGAAAGATGCTTGCTCCTTGGAAGAAAAGCTGTGACAAACCTAGACAGTATATTCAAAAGCAGAGACATCACTTTGCCGATAAAGGTCCATCTAGTCAAAGTTACGGTTTTTCCAGTAGTCATGTAAGGATGTGAGAGTTAGACCATAAGGAAGGCTAAGCCCTGAAGAATTGATGCTTTTGAACTGTGGTGCTGGAGAAGAGTCTTGAGAGTCCCTTGGACAGCAGGGAGATCAAGCCAGTCAATCCTAAGGATTGATCAGTTGATCAGTCAAGCCAGTCCTTTAGTCAATCCTGAAGGACTCAACCCTGAATATTCATTGGAAGAACTGATGCTGAAGCTCCAATACTTTGGCCCCCTGATGCAAAAAGCCGACTCATTGGAAAAGACCTTGATGCTGGGAAAGATCGAGGGCAGGAGGAGAAGGGGGAGACAGAGGATGAAATGGTTAGATAGCATCATCAACTCAGTGGACATGAGCTTGAACAAGCTCCAGGAGATGGTGAAGGACAGGGAAGTCTGGCGTGCTGTAGTCCATGAGGTCACAGAGAGTCAGACAGGACTTAGCAACTGAACAACAACAACAAAGTGCATCGGTGATCTCTTGAGATCTCTTTACCCCCAAAATCCTGTGGCTCCATGGAACTAACCTGAAATGGCTCTTACCTTCATCTGCAATAAGTGGGGGACCAAGGAAAGATGGGGATTGTGGCAGACCCTCCAGAGCAGTCACGTGGAGCCCTGCCAGTCTCCGTGGACAGGAAAGGATGGTGCAGCACGCTGGTGTTCTCGGCTACACAGACAATGAAGAAGGAAAGAGGAGGCTGTGCCATTGTGTAAAGATACACTCTGGCTTCCCCTTCCACCATTTCATCCTCAATCTTGGTTCTGAACCTTGCCTGTGTTATGGTAGTCACTACCTTAGGAACACAGGTATGGACTGGTGGTCATTTATGCTTCTGTGACACCTTGATTCCTGTCATTGAGCTACATCCCCCGACCCTGCACACCAGCACCCTCAGCCTTTTCCATTGCATCGGGATGCAGTGGTTATGCTGGGCACCCAGGACCTTTCTGCTTTCTCTTCTCTTTCATAAGACTTGGAGTTGTTGACTGCCCAAAAATATTTGCTGTACATTATTTTTTGAAATGCTTATTGTCTCTTGTCCATTTTCATTCCATTTTAAGCATGCGTTTCCTAAATTGAACTAAAATTAATTTTTAAAAGATAATTCTCTTTTGCATGTTTCATCTTCCTTTCTCTGTGAACATCAGATTTTAAAATTCTTACTAGTTTATCACTGGAAAATTATGTAGTAGCAGTTTTCTCCCCTCTCTGTTGTTAAAGGGAATGTTGGAAGGGTAAAAGGAGTTTGGGGGTTCCCCCCTAAATTCAGAGTAAATAATGTTGAGAATTTTTTTAAATAAAGTTCTGATGAAGATTATTATTGTTTGTGCCAAGAAATTAGAAAATATTATACTTTTGTTATTAAAATAGGAAATATCAAAGTACATAAATAATTATGGAGGAACAGGAAATCTTATATAGGTCAATCTAATTTCACTTCCCAAGCTGACTGAAATGAATATAAATTAGAGATGAATTTTATTTATTCATGTGTAATTTTGAATTCAATATTGAACAGTTGGCAAAACATTTGTTTGAACTATATTTTTAGCTTTAACTTGTTCTTTGAAAATACTGGTTTGTTGGTCAGGTAGGGGACTATTTGTTTGTTTATATCTCTTTCAGGTTCTTTTTTGCTTCTGACTTATTGGGTGACTCCTCCCTGGTCTGCCTGTCCGTCTCAGTTTACCCATTTACAAAAACAATATAGAAATTCTTGCATTTGACCTCATTTAGAACCATGACAACACATAGAAAACCAGCTGGCTAGCAATAGCTACAAATGAGTGCTAACTCTTATGAGTATATGCAGAAGCTGTTTAACAGAGCAGCTGTTATTCAAAACATTATATGCAGGCACTGTTTTTTAAACCAATGCTAACATCTCTGATTTAACAACAAATAATAAGAGAAAGAAATTATTTGAACTTGATTTTCTTGGCTTCTGCTTATGTTTTGGAATATTGAGGGGAAATAAATCAGATCTTGCTCAAGATCTGGTCTCCTGTGATCAGCATTCATGTGGAAACAAGAATCACTGTATTAAACTCAGGGACTTACAACTTATGAATACACATTTCCTTTCCATTCTTTCAACTCTTTTAAATTGAACCTGATTGTCCTTTTTGTAGTCATCAGTTTTCTGTCTTTGAAGTAATACCTGGGATTTAAAATTACCTTTAGCATTCGTCCTTTTTTCCAAAACAGAAAGAAGTTTCCAGAACATACAGTGGGGCATTCCGCCCAGCCCTCTCCATCTCTTCTTACCAGGGTGACCTGGAAAATATATTTGCCTCCTTTCTATATGCCTTAGCTCTTCTAGCCCATATGCTGCCTTAAATTTGCTTCACAGTTTATGAGGCATTTTCATATGTATTATGTTGTTGGATTGTCCAACAATCTTGTGAAGTCTTTGGAACAAATGGTATTTTGTCATCATGAAGATGATACTGAGATATCAAGTGGTTTATTCTGTATCCTCGAGAACAGTGGCACAATAGCACCTGATTTAATACCTAGCAGTATGTACAATAGAAGCTAAAGACAGGGGAAAGACCTGCTTTACAGAAGAACTAGGACCACAGCCCACATTTAACTTCATGATTCTTTGTATTTTTCTATCATGCCTCACTTTTTGAGTGCTTATGGTGGCGCTGCTGGTAAGGAACCCACCTGCCAACGCAGGAGACATAAGAGACATGGGTTTGATCCCTAAGTCAAGAAGATCCCCTGGAGGAGGGCATGGCAGCCCTCCTGGAGAGGATTTTGCCTGGAGGTTCCCATGGACAGAAGAGCCTGGCGGACTACAGTCCATAGGGTCTCAAAGAGTTGGACGCGATTAAAGTGACTTAGCATGCATGCATGTGTTGGTCCTTTAATGGACCAGAACCTGGTGGTCCGGAGTCGATGATGAGAGCGTGAAAGAAGTAAAGAGGCTAATATTCCCTGGGTTACGCAGCCGGCTTCCGCGCTCCAGGGAATCAGCCAGAAATAAAGAGATAAGAGAAAGAGAGGAAGAGAAAGAAAGAAAGACACGGGGACCAAAGCGCTGATGGAGCAAAGGTGTTTTAATCAACACAGCATGGGCATATATACTGTAGTTATTCTCAGCAAAGATAAAGATTAAAATTCCAGACTTAACAAAACACAAGGCGATCCCTATTAAAGAGTGAAGAGGGTACTTATCACCATAATGAGAAACTAACAAAGGAAATGCCTGGATTCCTCAGCCCCGGAAAGGCGTGCCTCTCCTCTTAATTCTTGAATATTCAGGAATTAATAAGGGCCAAAGGTTTCCTGACAGATCCATAACAGCACACGGGAAGCCTCCTGTTAAATGCTTCCTGACATGCATGCATAGTTAAATACAGATTTGATGATGTTACCTAAGCTAATTTCCTCATTTTTACTTTGATCTTCTTGTCAGATGCCTTATCTGTGGTTTTTGAGATCATGATGCAAGAAGCTTTCGAAGTTCCTTCCACCCAACTCCTCTCCCTGTATGTTCTGTACCAGTGCCTGGCAAAGAAGACAGATTTCAGTGTAAGTGACCTGTCTTGAAACAGTACTAAGAGCCTTAGAGAAGCCAGCAGCAGCTGCTCAGTAGGGATGTGGGGGCCAGAGGAAAGCCCTGCCCTCAGCATCTGGGAAAAGATACCTGGTGTGCAGCCCTGTGACCCCTCACAGCCAGGAATGAGTGTTCACCCACACATTTTAGGTTCTGGGTTCTAACAAAGTGGAATTGAATGTTCTTCTGCTTGGAAGAATCTCAAGTGGAAGTCCTTATGTACATTCTGAAACATGAGCTATGCTGAGTGTGCCTCATACATTCAGAAATGGGCAACTGATGATCAGTGAGAACTGGATGCCAATGAAGCAGTGAGGCAGCTAGCTTTGACCACAGCTTCAGGTATTAAATACTGGTTTTTAATTTGTGTCAGTATTTTCCTAAGGTGCTCTGGGTCAGTGGAGAATACCAAATTTTGGTTTCATCTCTTCATTGTTATTGCTTAGTCACTAAGTGGTGTCCCTCCAGGCTCCTCTCACCGTGGGATTTTCCAGGCAAGAATACTGGAGTGGGTTGCCATTTCCTTCTCCAATTGCTTTATTGCTCCCCTAAGAGTGACAGCAGTGATAACAGTAGCTAATACTTAAATAGCACTTACTTTACACTTATGTGTTCTTGGTGTTTTAGATTTATTCATTCATTCAGTCCTCTCAGCTCCATGAAGATGAGAACACGAGGGCACAGAGATACTGCATAATAGTGGCCGAGCTCATACATAAGTGGTGAAGCCAGGCAGTCTGGCCCTACAGACTTTGCCCTCAACCTCAAATGTAACATCAAAAAATACTGCTTTGGGTGGAAACTGCAAAGATCATCTAACCTAGTCCCCATTGTAAAAAATTTATGGTGTGTTTTCTTTTTCTGAAATGAATGTCATAGCCTGCAGCATACCTCACAGTTCATTAGTTCATCCTGATACTATGGATCATGTTTTTCCCTAAAGAAAAGAAAAAACATCTTTAAGGTTCCATGTTTATTATTCCCCGAGCCCCTTTTCATGCAGTTTATGTGGAGGGAAATCAAAGCTGTGAGTGATTTGCTTTTGAAAGTGAAATGACCTCCTTAATTACTAGCTCTGTTACTTCTGTGTGCTGCGGAAGTGCCTGGGGAGGCTTTGTTTTTCTCCCAAGGTCTTTGCTTGTTTCAAAGCTTTAGTAAAACCTTAAGAAATTGCACTTGCAATACAGTGCACAAAGGTCATTCCCAAGAAAGAGGTTTCGGTGCCTGTTAACACCAGGGGTGCCCCGCTTACACCTGACTGCAGGTGTAGCTTGCACACCTTGTTCAGTCTCTGACCGGTGCACGGCCACCTCAGCTTTGCGTTCTGTATTTCTAAGCCAGAATAAAGACTCAAGCTGCTGTGTGCTCCTGCAGTGCCGGCTCCGAGATGATCAGGGCTCTCATTGTCTGCGGAGTTGCCAAGGCACTCGCTCCTCGGGCCTGCGATTACAGTGGGCCCTGTCACTGCCATCGCTGTCTGCAGCAGCCTCAGCAGTGCTTGTGTTTCTGCCCCCCATTTCCCCATGTCTCAAAAGGCTTCAACTTTATTGAAGTGTAATGTTGCACCCTGGGTTGAAAGAAGTGATCACTAAGTGTTTCTGATTGCCTAATTTATTTTTAAAAGGCATAAATCTGTCTAAAAGCAGTCTAATAGTTGTATTTACTTGAACACTGTGAAGTAGGAGTCTTATTGCTGAATTGTTTAAAATTCAGAAGGTCTGCTCTGTCATGTCATAGCAATGTGAGCACAGAGCTGACAGAGTGGGTAATCTTTATTGATCATCTTGAGGCGGTGTTGATCCAGAGTAGGCGCTTTATTTTTGTTTTGTTTTGCTTTTCTGATTGTAAAAGGAACTGTTACTCACTGCCCCAGATTCTGAAAGGAATGAAAAGTACAAAGAGGAAAACCAGAATTGCTTGTAATTTAACTGCCTAGAAATCTGTTAACATATTGAGCATTTCTATTCTGCATTTTTTATCAAACATAAATATGTTTTCTTTACAAAATCAGAATTATCATGTAGCTTTAGTATGATTATTTTGTTTCTTTTACCTAATATAGCATATTCTTTTTCCCTCTGTGTCATTAACACTCACATTTCTGCATACAGTATACATTGCTTGGCTACACCATGACCTGCTGTATTCTGTTTCAGTGGGAAGAGGAGAGGAACTTTGGTGCCTCCCTGTTACTCCCAGGCCTGAAGCAGAAGAACTCGGTGGGGCTGAGTTCCCAGTTGTATGGCTATGCACTTCTTGGTAAGCTGGAGGTCCTTAACTAACATTGTTCTTCACAGATAGGAACTGATTCATTCTTTTACTTCTTAATATAATAAAATTATACTTCTTAATTATAATAAAATTATAATTTGATTTAGACTTGTGGAATTCCAATACAGCTTTCATTTTTAGACATTAAACTGGACTTTGATGGCCTTGTAGTTGTAAGACAACAAAGTAGGATTTAAAAACCTCTGACCACTGGCAAGGTGAGAACTAGTTCTGATGGCTCTTGATTATATTCAGTGGTAAGCAGTGTCAAGAAGGGATAAAGAAAGGAAAGTTCTGGTCCTCATTTGGGAGAACCAGCCAGTAGACTGTTTCCCAGTATTAAAAAGATCTTCCTGTCTCTTTAAACCCAAACCCAGGAGGAAGAATATTGAATGCATATTGTCGGTATTGTTCTCAGGTGAGGGAAGAGGAATGCAGAGAGGCATCCAGTAGCACTTTGGGACAGCAGAGAGGGACTCGCTAGTCAGTGTGACTGCCACGCACAGGGCGGCTGGCTCTGCTTTAGAGCCCCGACTGCATTAAATCAGACAGTCAGGAGGGCAAGGCCTTTTGAGGAGCGGCCTTGGCTCTCAGCAGATCTGAGCACATAACGTTCAACCTAAGTGTGCATCAAATGTGTCCTGAATTACAGTTAATTAAAATTCATATTATTTCATTAGCCTTCCATGCTCTCTCCTAAGCAGATAGGCATTTGGGAAAGTGCCTTCTACTAATCATATACTGTGTCTGCCTGTTAGCTTTGTTTTCTGAAAATCATCTAAGTTACAGCAGTTTGACTACTTTTGGAGTTGATCTTCACCAACGAAATGTAGTGTGGCATTTTGGATCCTGATTCTGGTAGAAACAGACTCAGAGGAGTTCATTGGGCTGCTCTCAGACTAACAAAAGAGTGGACCACCCTTTTTAAAAATCACTTTTTCCAAGATCAGGAGAGTGCCAGTATCTCTTCAAGATCTTGACTTCAGTTCTTTTGGATAAATACCCGGAGTGCAGTTGCTGGCTCATGTGACAGTTTATTTTTTTGAGGACACTCCCTATCATTTTGCGTGGCAGTTGGTGCCATTTTGCATTCCCACCAGTGATGCACAAAGGTCCTAGTTTCTCCCTACTCTCACCAGCACTTGGGTTTCTTTCTTTGATAACAGCCATCCTGCCAAGTGTGAGATGATATTATGCTTTTTGACTTTGGTTCTGATGGTTGATGACATTGCTCATCTTGTCACATGTCCATTGGCTGTTGTGTGTCTTCTTTGGGAAAATGTCTATTCAAGTTCTTAGTCCGTTTTTAAATCAGTTTATTAGTTTTTTGTTGAGGCATAGGTGTTCCTTGTATGATTTGGAGATTAAAATATATTTTATAAAATATTATAAAATAATATTGTGGAAATTAAAAGAAAAATCATTCTCTCTTACCATCTACTTTCTATACTAATTACAAGTTTTTGCATTTACCTTCAGAGGAGCACTCAGGGCTGTTTCACTGCATGAATTGTCCAGGAAGTTGTCAGGGCTGAGAAAATGTGCTTTGTTGTTCCTGATTCTGAGCAGAGGCCTGAGTGCTTTGAATCTGGCAGCATCAGATCCAGATCCCCCTGCTCACAGCGTGTCATGTGCGGTGTAGCCTCATTTACCTCCGACATAAGCAGCTTCCCGGAACGTGACTGCAGCCAGCCCCAAGTATCTTAAAGGTCTAAAATTAGCTGTCACCTGATGAGCTTTGTCTGTTTATGTTCCACTACAGCTTTCCCAAATCCTCCTTCCAGGGAAAGATAAGTGAAGGTAGACTTAATACCTGGCAACTCAAGGTGACTTTGGTCGTAGTTCAGAGAACGTCTGTATCCCCCTGGAATCCCAAGACAGCCTCCCTCCTCACTGGGGGACCCTGCTGTCAGCCAGCCACATCTTCAGCTCTAGTTATTATTGTTTGAGGTTCCAAGAGAAACACTCATGTCCTGAGACCCACACGGATGACGAGGACTGTATAATTTAAATACTGATGCAGCTCAACTAAAAGAAAGGAGAGTAAAGTGAGATTTTCTTTTTTTTTTTTCCATAAGGACAGTCAATGGACTGTTTTGGAGCATTTTGAAAAATGTCAAACATTTCCTGGCAAGGAAAGTTGTCAGATGTTGACAGGATTTTTCAGTGTAAGAAAGTTGTGAAATTTCTTTTTTGGAGCAACATTTTGTCTTGAAACAAAAGTAGTATTTCAATTGCTTGACTTGTTTTATAAGGGTAGCTCCACTTAGAGGCAGGCTTCCCAGGTTGTGCTAGCAGTCAGGAACCCACCTGCCAATGCAGGAGACATAAGAGACATGGGTTCATTCCCTGTGTTGGGCAGATCCCCTGGAGAAGGGCATGGCAACCCAACCCACTCCAGTATTCTTGCCTAGAGAATCCCATGAACAGAGGAGCCTGGTGGGCTACAGTCCATGGGGTCACTCAGAGTTGGACACGACTGAAGCGACTTAGCTTGCATGCATGCACACTATTAGAGGCAGATATATAGTGACCCCTGTAAATTTCCCTCAGCCTTCATGATAGTCTCCAGTAGTCCAAATGGAAAAGTAAAAAAAAAAAGTCCATACAAGTTTATATTGAAAAGTATGTACATTGACTTTTACCATGTTTTTCATCATCCATCTGAAATACCCTTTTTCAGTGGATGGGATGAGTCTTAGTAGAGATTTGAAATGATCCTCCATTTCTTGAGCTGCCAGCTGAGTACTCACTTGTGTCTTCAAGTCCTCAGTCTCAGACATAGTGGGAAGCCATGGCTAAGCCTTCTTCTTGCTCTTTTTGGCCACAGGGAAGGTGGAGTTGCAGCAGGGGCTGCGGGCTGTGTACCATAACATGCCACTTCTGTGGTGGCCAGGCTACCTCGACAGAGCCCTTCGCGTGATGGAGAAGGTGGCCTCCTCCCCAGAGGATGGGAAGCTGTGTAGGGAAGCGGTAAGTTCCCCAGCCCTGATTCTGAGGGGTTTAGCATCTCTTGTCCCTTATAAGTCAAGCTTTGGATTTGTTTTCAGCGTCTCCCCCAGCCCCACCTTCTTTATCTCTATAGATTCATGTATTTACTCAGTTGAAAAGGAATGAAAAAAACCACAAACATTCTCAGTGTTACCGACAAGCACTAGAAAATAACATTAACGTTGCTTTTATACTTCACTGTCTGGGAGGAAAACTATTCGTCTCCCAAGAAATTCAAACTGAGTTCAATAAAATACTGTTTATTGCCCTCCACCACTACCACCACCAAAGTAAAATCTCAGTAGGAGCATAAGAGACATTAAGATTTTATTTTTTACTTTTGGCATTTCTGTATCTTCATGTAGTCCTGAGAGACTGACTACCTGTCAGAGTTTTCCTAAACTCTCAAGAAATGAGTTTAGGCAGTAGAAATGGTGCCATCTTTCTTTCTTTCCATTAAGTCATTCTGTGGTGAATGCATGATGCTGAGGAGGTCTGGACCAGGTGTCCCTTCCAGAGTTCTAAGTCTTTCAGTTTGCCCAGACTAGGACCCTGTCCTCCCATCAGCCTCAAAGCTCATCCCCCTTGGTCACCTCAGACTCTTCATTCTGCAAAGTTCCTAGACTTAGCTCAAGCCATGGGAAAGCATGTGGCAAGCTTATGCCCGGTAGGGAGCCATTGTGCTCGCTCCTGTTCAAGCAGCTTTTGTAGCCAGAGTCAGGCCTCAAAGGACATCAGTTATTTCGTTAACAGAGTGTGAAAGTTGACTTTGAGCTGTTTGTTTTGCCTTGACCCAATCACTCCATCTCGCCCTGTGGCTTCCAATTTGGTCTCAGGATACAGAAGTCTGGTCCCTCTACTGGCTCCTTGTACTGATGTCTAGTGAGTCATTGTTTTCTGGGAGACATTTATTCCAAAGCATACACATTTCTGAATATATATTCATGTTTTAACCCTCCTATAGTCAGTACTAGTGATTGAAACACAAAATTAGACATAGATGCTCTGCCAGGGAGATGCTTATTGCAGTTTGAGCCAGACTTGCATTCTTTGTGTTCTGACTTCATAGAAATGTGATTCAGATGTCAGCATTGAATGGGATATGTGTCAGATTTGGGTATAATGTATTAGTGGCATTGAAAAGCCTTGGAGTATTTTCTGGATTTTTGTTCTGAGTTGACATGGACAGAATTAATTGGTATTCACACAGGTGTTAATGCTGGCCTTGAGGCTGTTTCTGTCCCATCTCTTGATGATCAGGCCCTCCTCAAAGGAGGTTGTCCCAAAATGAAGGTGGTAAGGGGAGAGGGATCAAAACAGAAAAGAAACCTTCTGTTTCATAATTTACTTACTTTCTAAGTCACAGAAATCCCCTGTTACAACAAATTTCATGTGTGCTGTCTGGTCTTTGTCAGCAGCTTATATAGATTGGCTGATTCCTAATCTCTAAATGTCCTGTGAGTTGAATTTTTCTCTGAAGGAGGCCCCCGCCTAGATTCAGAGGCTTTATTGTACTTTCAGAATGGCCTGATGTGGGTTGTGGTCTGTAGTGGTTTTTCTTTCCCATTCTTCCAATTCCAAACCAATTAAGGAAGAAAGACATGGAAGGGGTGTTACTTCATTGCCCATCGGGCATAATTCCTTGATTCCTGTCTGGCTGATTAAAGGTGAAATCAAAAGCCACTCTGCTGATTCACTTACACAGATAATTCTGAGTCTGCTTATTGTTCCATTTGTTTTGTACTAAGTGTTCCATGCCATGTGACAAGGTGTTTCTACTGTAAAATTACATAACCGTTTCTGTTTTCGGTAATTTAATAAGAGAACTCTTCTCGAGATTTTTCAGGCCCCAGGCTTCCCTCCCTTCCCCTTCTGCAGCCTCCCTCCCCAGTGCCCTCAGGGCCACAGGGAGCTGAGTCTCTGCCCCTTTCTGCTCCACAGCTGGATGTGCTGGACAGGGCGCTGAAGGTTCTGACTGCTCCGGCCCGGGAGTCTCCAGAGGAGCAGCCCCAGGGAGGTGAGGAGAGCCCGTCGGAGGAGGAGCTGATGGAGCAGCTGGACGTGGAGGAAACCGAGAGGTCCAAGCTTCCCCAATACCTGGAACGGTATGAGGTGAGTTAGGGCAGGCTGGAGTCCCCTCAGCTAGGTGTTAATGTGCTTCTCCACCATGGAGACAGACACGCAGTCCTTTCATGCATCAGTATTGCACAGAAGGGCATTGAAAACTGTCATCAAAAATCACATTTTTATCTCCTTACACAGGAAGTGATCTGAAACAAATGGAAATTTTATACCCCTTTTTGTACTTGAGCGAATTGGTCACAGTTTTGTTCCCTGAGGCAGCATGTCACTACCTACCACTCATCTCTGACTGGTGGGTAATAAATAGCCTTCCTTCCCATAGCAAGCACCCGACTGCAGCCCTGGGTGAAGAGGAGCTGGAGGTTGAACCCTCTCGATCTCCAGAAACCTAGGGAGAAACCGCAAAGCCGCATTTGAGTATGATGGAGATGAAATGCAGGTATCTTCTCTGGCTCGGCTTTGTGGCATGCACTGAGGCTCCTGGAAGTGCCCTCTGAGCTCCACGGACAGTGTCAGCAGGCTCCCACTGCTGTTTTTCAGGAGCTCCAGCACTCAGGCTGCCGCTAGTAGCCTTCAACTGTGTGTCGCACAATGCTCTGTGGTTAGGGTCAGGGAGGCAGAGCTGTGTTCAGAGTTTAACCCCCTGGCCTCTTCCTTGCTGTGTTTCTCGTCTGTCTAGAGCCAAGCAAAAAAAACCGTGCTGCCTGAAGGAGAGTTCATCGTGTGAAGCAGAAGACCTCCCGTCCCCTCCCCCCCGCCCCCCGCTGACCCAAGGTGGTGTCCTTTTGGTCCAGAGGGATATACACGTGGCCAGGCTGCCACATTTAAATCTTTGCAGGAATGGGACCAGCTTTGGGAAATCTATTTCTGCATGTTCTAAGGAGGATTCTAGTACTTTTGGCTGTTTTTCCCAGTACTTCTCTAAGGTCATTGCTCAACTCCCTTCTTTTATAATTTAAAAACAAAAAGGAAGGTTAATCAGTGTTTTCAGGGTACACAGAGAATTAGCGACTATGTTAAGAATTTACATACTTGTTGTTTCCTCTTAACTTTGCCTAACTTTGCAGGTTTAGAAAAGCTAAAAAGCAAAACACTCTGCCTAGCCCCATAGGTTATCATTCACCATATTCATATTGCCCACTTCTAAAACTTACAACCTTTTCCTTGTTTCTTATATCTTTAATTTTAGAAAATAGAAATCTGTGCCTGCATTAAATTCTTAGCCCTTGCTCTTCCACAATCCTTTTTTTTTTTAATTCACAAAAAGAAAAGAGACCAGGATTTCTTGACTGCTTGCTGTGTGTTAGACACTTTCTTTTCTTCCTGGTGCCTGATTTTTATTAGTCCCAGGTAATCTGGGGCTTATTTTTATATGACTAAACCATCACATGAGGCCTCTGGCTGCTCCTTGAAGCCCATGGACCCTTCCTACCTTTCAGCCCCTGCTATTAGAGCAGGCCTCATCACATACGCCAGTAAATCGCATTTATTTTGTGGAACATGGGGTATGTGGTATATGCTAAATCTGGAGCCATAAGTGGGTCTCTGATCTACATCTTGAAGCACTTAAGTAGATTAGTGGTTTTAGTACTTTACTTCTCCAGAAATATTACAATACCAACCAAATAGAGCTGCCATTTCAGATGGAGCCATAAGCAGTCAGAATGTCAAGGCTGACCTTTCATGAAGCACAGCACGGGGAGGCTTATAATAGCGAAAGCACTCATAGGAGCTGTTTAGTATGCCATTAGTAAGAAAGCCTTGACGTGACTTCCATCTGGTGAAAGGAAAACTAGTTAGGCAAACATTGATCCCAGTTATTCTAAAGGAAGAGCTGTGGACAGGTTCAGTCCATTTTATCAGCTGCTTCTATCATTTTGTTTGCATCTTAAGGTCCGTTGTTCATGGGGTTTGCTACTTGCTCAGAAAGGAAATGGAGGTTCATTATACTTGTGCGGTCTTTGTGGTTTGAAACAAATTATACAGAGAGTCACAGCATAGGGAGTTCCATTTACTGTGTGTGAGTGAAGGGGAAGGAATCACATGTGGGGCATCTTAGCAGAATTGCTACGCTGAAAGCAAAGAGCAGAAGCTATCAGTGCCTGGATGAGAGGCAGCGTGACAGGCTTCCAGTAAAGTACCTTGTCCTATGAGTAGAATATGTGCAGATTTTGCAATGACTTAATCTCTCCTCTCTTCCTCTTTGTATTCTTCACCTTCCTGCCCCTTCCACATCTCCTTGTTTTTGTTTTGTTTTTGCCCTTTGTTTCAACAGGCCTTACATTCTAAGCTGCAGGCTCTGGGCAAAGTTGAGCCCGAAAGCCTTCTGACCCTGACCACCCAGCTTGTGAAGGAGCAGCTCCCCACCTGTGAAGCTGAGGATATCACCACCTATGAGCAGAAGCTGCAGGAGTGGCATCTGGAGCTGGTAAATTTGATTCAGAGAGAAAAGGAGATGAGGGAAAAGGCCAGGCTCGAGCATGAGGCTCGAAGGGCACCAAAGGCAGCCGCCTAACAAGACCCCACAGGACCTTCCCAGACCCTGTCTCAGGATTCATGGTGACAGCAGCCTCAGTGTCCTCCATCCATTGTCTCCTGTTCTTAAAGCAGACCCCCATGGTACTGAAGCCACGTTGTTCACATGTCAAGCCACATAATCACCCACCCAGATGCCAGGAAGGCTGTGGAACCGCCGAAGGAACAAGTGGTCAGGCCGAAGCCACAGCTAAGTACTTTATCTAAGAGCTCTTGAGGCTTGTCATGGAGTTCCTGGGAGACAGGGATCAATTTTGAGCCCTGAAAGTCCCTGATACTTAGCGATGATGGCGGGAGAAGACGTGAGTGAAGAATCCAGTCTCGAGCACAAGCTTTTGAAGATTTCTCTCCCCCGCGATGCCACCTGTGTGTGCTGAGATCTCCTCGCTGGTCTCCTTAAGCGCAGGCTCTCCTCCTGAGCTTGCCCTTCCCAGACCTGAACTGGGAGAAATTCAGTACAGGAGCAGACACAAGACCGTCTGGCTTTCAAATTCCAGAGACCCCAGTGGCATGTGAAAACTTCAGAGGAGAGAGCTAGGCCTGGCTCTGCAGCCTCCCTAGCTTGGCTCCCCGCCACGTTGGGGTGACTTACAACATGTTGTCTCACCTTCCCATCCAGTAGGTAGAGTGAGTCTTCTGTACACACATGCACAACTTATGAACACACATTTCAGTTAGAGGCTGGAGGAAATGAGAGGTGGGATGGGGCTTGCAGTGCGTGGGAAATGCGAATGATTATAACTGTCAGAAGGTAGAAAGTTCCTCGCTGGGGTTTCCCTGTGGAAGGTGTCAGCGCAGTCATGGCTTGCTATGTAATTTTGCCCTCATGTGTACTGTATACTCTTATACAGGATTGTGCTCTTTTATCAAGAACCTGTGGAAATAAATGTTCTAGGATCATGTGGTGTGTTCTTTGTCTTCAGAGTAAGGGAAGGGAGAGGTAGGGGCTTTCGTCGTCTTTATAGCTGCTAAGGCCTGGGGTCCCAAAGCGTTGGATTCGACTTGGTGACTAAACAACAACGACATAGCTACTATGATTTTGAGCAATGTGTTTTCAGTCTTCCTCCATCAGACTGTGGCGTTTATGGTAATAAAAACGACCTCCACAGCAGCAAACATCCATCAAGGAGGCCCTGAGCACCAACTCCAGCAGGCCTGTGAGGGAAGTACTATTAGCCCATTTTTGAATGAGAAAACTCGTTACTCAGAAACTAACTAGCATGGGTCAAGCTCACACACGTTCCCTCCATACATCCCTGCAGTCAGTATCTGACACCAGGCCTGAGTCTTGCTCAGGTAGACGATCATGACCTAAAGTCAGTGCTGAAGTTTTGATTTATCAGGGGACTTTTTCAGCCACTCTGTTACTTCATCAAGAGGCATGAAGCATCTAATTGATAACTTCAGATCGTAGTTTTGCCTCCGTTTTCCTTCTTATCTATCCCTGTCCCTGTTGCACTTTACTTCCAGTCTACAAGAAACCACATCCCCATAGTCAGAGCCGGCCCTCCAGCCTCCTATCACTGATCCAAGATCTTAGAGCCAGAAGTCCCATCTCCCAGTCTTCCCTTTGATCATGTGACTCCTGCTGAACCAGCTCTTCCTTGTACTTACTTCCTGCCTGCAAACCCTTTACACTGTCACTGATCACCAACTGGATCTCCAGAATTCACATCTTGCTTGCCCTCCCTCCAGTCTGGGCTCCCTGGATTGGCCACCCCACTGATGCATCTCTATAATTTCTTCTTTTTCCCTTTATCCAGGCCCATTTGCCATGCACAGATCTCTATCCTTGGAGCAACATGTTACGGGTTGAATTGTGGCCCCCCTACCACCACCACTAGTGAAAAATATGTTGAAACCCTGACCCGAGTGCCTTAGAAACTAACCTTAATTAGAAATAGGGTCTTTACAAAGATACTCAAGTTAAAATAAAATTATAAAAAGAATTTTGGACAAAAGATAGAAGGAAGACCGGGTAAAGACACACAGGGAGAAGATGGTGATGTGAATGGAGCAGTGCACCCACAAGCCAAGGATGGCAGGCCAACACCGGAAGCCAGAAGAAGCAAGGAAGACTTGTCTTCTGGAACCGTCAAAGAGAGCAGGACCCGATCGTCACATTGCTTTTGGACTTCAAGCCTCCAGTACTGTTCTGTTCTTTTTAAGTCACTCAGTTTTTAGTCCTTTGTTACAGCAGCCATAGGAGACTGACTGACACAGTTTGTTTTCTGACCTACTAAGTTTGGTATATAAAGTTGTGAAATCAACCTGACTGATTTCTCTACAGATTTACAGGTGTCTTCTTCAGCTCAGTAGTCTTTTTATTTCTCTTACTCTCATTTTTACCTCAATAGCTTTTCAACTGGGTCTGCTTAAACCCCACACCCTTGCCCCCCACCAGAACTGTGAGCAGATGTTCTTGCCTCCTACTTTATCAAGAAGACATAGGTCACAGAGTAAAACCTCACAGCTCCCTTATTTCTGCAAGTCTACAGTCTTTTTATCCAAGACTCCCTTCCCTTTTAGAAACTAAAAAGCCTTTATCCTGCCATCAGTCAAAGCTGCCACCCTGCCATTCTCCTTCCTTCTGTCTTCAAACTTCTTAGAAGGGTGTATCCACTTACTGGTTCATTGATGGCTCATTAGACCCTGAAGATTTGGCTTTCATTCTGTGTCTTAGCTGCAGTGATCCTCTGCCCTCTGTTCTGTTTAGTGCCCCTAACCTCCCACACGTGCATTTATGTGTGTGGCACATCCTGTGTGCTGGGCAACATAGCTGAGAGCCATGGACTCTACCCTCAAATAACATATTCTAACAGAGGAGGCCAGCACAGAGGCCCTATCATGCTTGATGTATGATGGTTGTTAGTTTACTGAGCAAAAGTGCCTTTTGATGTATCTTGGATCTTCTGCTTGACATAATAAGGGAGAGGTTGAAAAAGCCCTGCCCTTGATAAACTAGTAAGTATCATTAGAAACACAGTGCTGTGGGTGTTCACAGGAAGAGCACTTCAAGCCCAGAGTCGGGAAAACTCTAATGAAAGGAAATCACCATCATCTGCTTTGTGCTTTGATTAGTCACATAGGTTTGGCTCATGCTGTCCTGGGGCAGATATGGTCCTCGTCTTCCCTGTGGAGTCGTGTAAAGTAGATGTTCAACAGAAGTTAGTTTAAATTGAACTGAAATGAACAGCCCACACCTACCCTGCACCTCCCTACTGTCCCCCCAGCCAAAAATAAATAAGAAAAAGGCAGAGTGTTGGAGTAAAAAGAATCAATGATGAGGTCAAATACCTTAGTCTCCTCTCCTTGGGGATGTGTTACCTTGACACCAAACTTTGCATTTTGTCTTCATCTGTCCTGTCTGGCTGTGGATATCAGATATGCGTATAGGAAATTTGTCAATTTTCAGTTCAGTCACTCAGTTGTGTCCTCTTTGCGACCCCATGGACTGCAGTATACCAGGCTTCCCTGTCCATCACCAACTCCTGGAGCTTGCTCAAATGCATGTCCATCAAGTCAGTGATGCCATCCAACCATCTCATCCTCTGTCGTCCCCTTCTCCTCCCGCCTTCAATCTTTCCCAGCATCAGGGCCTTTTCCAGTGAGTCAGTTCTTCACATCAGGTGGCCAGAGTCTTAGAGTTTCAGCTTTGGCATCAGTCCTTCCATTGAATATTCAGGACTGATTTCCTTTAGGATGGACTGGTTGGCCTTGAGGTCCAAGGGACTCTTAAGAGTCTTTTACAACACCACAGTTCAAAAGCATCAATTCTTCTGTGCTCAGCTTACTTTATAATCCAACTCTCACATCCATACATGACTACTGGAAAAACCATAGCCTTGACTAGATGGACCTTTGTTGGCAAAGTAATGTCTCTGCTTTTTAATATGCTGTGTAGGTTGGTCATAGCTTTTCTTCCAAGGAGCAAACATCTTTTATTTTCATGGCTGCACTAACCATCTGCAGTGATTTTGGAGACCCCAAAAATAAAGTCTGTCACTGTTTCCATTGTTTGCCCATCTGTTTTCCATGAAATGATGGGACCAGATGCCATGATCTTATTTTTTTCTGAATGTTGAGTTTTAAGCCAAATTTTTCATTCTCTTCTTTCACTTTTATCAAGAGGCTCTTTAGTTCTTTGCTTTCTGCTTTAAGGGTAGTGTCATGTGCATATCTGAGGTTATTGATATTTCTCCCAGCAGTCTTGATTCCAGCTTCTGATTCATCCAGCCCAGCACTTCGCATGATGTACTCTGCATATAAGTTAAATAAACAGGGTGACAATATATGGCCTTGACATACTTCTTTCCCGATTTGGAACCAGTCTGTTGTTCCATGTCCATTTCTAACTGTTTCTTCTTGACCTGCATACAGATTTCTCAGGATGTAGGTAAGGTGGTCTGGTATTCCCATCTCTTGAAGAATTTTCCACAGTTTGTTGTGATCCACATAGTCAAAGCCTTTGGCATAATCAATAAAATAGAAGTAGATGTTTTTCTGGAACTCTCTTGCTTTTTCAATGATCCAATGGATGTTGGCAGTTTGATCTCTGGTTCCTCTGCCCTTTCTAAATCCAGCTTGAACATCTGGAAGTTCTCAGTTCACGTACTGTTGAAGCCTGGCTTGGAGAATTTTGAGCATTACTTTGCTAGTGTGTGAGGTGAGTACAATTGTGCGGTAGTTTGAACATTCTTTGGCATTGCCTTTAGGATTGAAATGAAAACTGACCTTTTCCAGTCCTGTAGCCACTGCTGAGTTTTCCACATTTGCTGGCATATTGAGTGAAGCACTTTTATAGCATCATCTTTTAGGATTTGAAATAACTCAACTGGAATTCCATCACCTCCACTAGCTTTGTTCATAGTGATGCTTCATAAGGCCCACTTGACTTCTCGTTCCAGGATGTCTGGCTCTAGGAGAGTGATCACACCATCGTGATTATCTGGGTCATGGAGATCTTTTTTGTATAGTTCT